TGAAAGAATTATGTAAATGTTAGGCCCAAATGAAATTTGAAATTTTAGTGTTAAAATGTTAATGAATACCCAATAGGATATGTTAAACTCTCACCTTTTGAAAATAAAAACCAATGCAAAACTTAATGAATGCCCAGCATTCTCATAAAGACTATAAAAAATTCTTTGTCAGAAAAGTAAACTATAATCTGGAATTACAAGGGAGAATTTCAAAGTTCTGAGAAATACTATTCAATCGGTATCAGGTTGAGTGTCAATGTTTACGTCTCCTGCACTCCGAAAGGTTTCAAATTGTCATCTAGAGACAAGGGACAACCAATCTGTATTCATTATTTTACATTGCTTCTTTTTGTTTGCTCTGTGAGGTGTTCATTATCTGAACACATGTTTGTTGTCCAATTTGTTCACAGTCCGAACTGTTCATTAACCAGTGTATTTGGTCAACACTAATGATAAAGTATCCTGAAAACTGATCACAAAAGTTTTTGGTGTTTTGTGCAGCAAGATAAATTCCTCTATGACAGTAAATCTGTTTCTTCTAAATCCACAAAAGTATCCATTAACTGATCAAATTACAATTCACAAACTGAATTCCAGCTGAACATGATAATTTTGTTTAGGTTTGGACATTACAAGTTTGAACTGAACAGTTAGGTAACATATTACCACTTGTATTTAAGTCTACTTCTTTTGAGCAAGATGCAACTTAACAAAAACTTCAGTTTCTTGATCCATATCTGTATTATAAAAAACAATTTTTTGCTTATTGCCAACAACAGTATCTTGGCATTTGTTGCATTCCTTTGGTGGTTTTCTGCTTTTCTTCAGTTTATCCAGAATTCTTACAGGAAGGTTTAAGGATGGAATAGCAGTTGCCTTCAGTATTTTCCACTGACCTGCAATTAAATAAATCATTACGTATACATATTTTTTATTTAAAGTTATATACAATCAAGATCATATTGTTAACAATTTAACCTGTATGCTAAAATGTTAAAAATGCTATGAAGTATAGGTATAAAATAATTAAAATTTTAAATAATTAAATCAAAATTATGCTTGTACAGTGAGTGATCAGTTAACAAACATAATCTGTTCCAAGACCATGCTTGTTATTCAAATTGTTTGTTAACAGATTATNGGTAATTGGTTCCAGAAGAGACGACTTAAGTCAAAAAATGATGTAAGTCGAATTTACTTGTCACTAGGCTAAACCACAAATAACCATTCCCAGTTCTGTATTTTATTTATAAATGCATTTTTAATAATATATGGTTAATAAGAATCTGTTTTAAGTTTACAAACAAATAAATTTTAGTTTTTAATACAGTACAGAAAAAAGTAATCTAAATTTACGAATACATGTTATGTAAATGTACATGTTTACAATTTGGTGATTCTTACAGTACATCGCAGACTCTTTATTTGTGAATGTGGTTTGCTCTAACTTGTAAGACATTATAAAATAAGATGATTTTGTAAGGTTAAATAACAAATACAGTTATTAAAATTATTTTGCAATAGTAGAAAAAGATTTATGTTAAATTTACCAATATCAAGTGGCGCTGACGATGACGCTAAATGGTAGATATTGGAACTACCGTAGAAAATGCAATAATGAGCACTTAAAGACCGTTACATAAGATGACAACACAGAAACACAGATGTTTTCATGTTTCATTCTCTAAGATTTATATTAACATTTACTGTAAATGTACATATTTTAATATGATTTTATGTGCTTTAACACTTTTCTAGTGATATTAAGACTTCAATATTTGTGGCAAACAGACGTAAAGTCGAATAAAATGACTTAAACTTGATTTTTATTTTTCCATATATTTTTTGACAAACGACATATAATCGAGAATGACATAACTCGAAACGACGTAACTTGAGATATACCTGTATATATATATTATATATATATGCACTTTTAGATCTGAATATATATATATTCTAAAAGTGCAGAAATTCTTGTCACATTTCTAGTTGAACATACTGACTAACAGTGTTTTGTATTTTTTCTATATTAATCATTAACTACTCTTTATAGCCTATTAATGCCTCAATCTTAATATCATTCATTTTTATTGCAATTCTTACTAATGCATTATTAAGAAACTAGTAGCCCAGGCCACCCCCCTTGTGGGCGTTCTTGCAGCAGCAGTGTCATAAATAATAAATTCATATCAATGGGAAATTTTTTCCCTATCCTGTGGGGGAAATTCCCCTCCCCTCGGAGAATTTATTTCCCTCCCCGTGGGGGTTATCTCCTCCTTCCATGGGAAGGGCATTCTAGCAGCAGCTGTGTCATTTCGTGATATAAATAATAAATTCCTATTACAAATTAAAATAATTTATTGTTAATTTAAATAATAGCTAGAGGCGCCCCCCTAGTGGTCATTCTAGTCATACCATTGCAGATATATGGACACACTATCAATGGCTTATATTATTAGATATATATGTAAAAGGTATTACTAAGAAATGCAATAAAAATGAATTATAAAAAATGCATATTAAGATTGAGATATTAATAGGCTATAAAGCATAGTTAATGATTAATATATAAAAATACAAAATGCTAAGTAATAAGAATAGTTAGTATGTTCAACTAGAATTTTGACACTTTTAAACATAGATTTCACTAGGCACATGGCAAGTACATAACCTAACTGTGAAAAGTAGTAAGTGTATCATAGTGTTTCTGAAATAAAAGTCATTCTTATATGAAGTAACACTTCATAAACATATAAATTAAAAAGTGTCCTATAAACTTACCCATACTAGTAACTTCATAATCACTTTCATCAAAGTTCCTGCTACAAATCTGAGTGTATTGACTGATTTCTTTTCCAGTTTTTATCTTTATTTCCCATTGGATCATCCAGAAATTTATGAAATTTCAAACCTGGACATTTCTTGTTATTGGCACTACACTGAGGAACATAATTGACCAGAATTTCAAAAATACCTAAATAACTAAAAATGCTTTTTATAAACAGTGTATACACAATATGATTAATGAAACAGAAAGCTACTTATCCATAAGCCCAATACTAGCACCGCCTGTTAGTTTTGAAAAGTGCATGCCCTATTAAGTGAATTCAAAACTATATGATATACAATAAGGTAACAATCATAATTCATTGGAATTTGAAAATCAAGGTTTTTGAATTATTTGAAACAGTTATAACAAAGTAATTTTCTCAAATTTATGTAAAAATATATAAATTTGAAAAAATAAAACTATATAATTATGATGATAAAAAAAAACACATTTTGTACATCATTCATTTTTATTTATTAACATTCTTTATCTTTTTTTCAAAAATACACAGTATCGTGAAAACAATTTCTGAAGAACATTTAATATCGTAATGTTAGTATATAAACTATTTTTTTTATTTTTTAAATTTAGTTATTTTTAATATATTGCCAGATATAGAAAATATTCAGATACAAGCTATTACAAAACTGACATAAGGATATTCCTATCTTATTTGTAACAAACCTTTATATGACAGTAAAAAATTATACTTCAGTATGGAAAATTTCTTAACTTAATTTCTCATATACAGTGGGTGACCAGTTAACGAACAGTTCAGATAGCAAACAAATCGGATAACAAACACTTTTGTGAAAGATTTTTTATGATTGAACAACGAACATTTTACTGAACAAACATAAAAAGAAGCGACAGAAAATAACGAATACCGATTGATTTTTCCTTGTCTTCAGGTAACAATTCGAAACCTTTCGGAGTGCAGGAGACGTAAACATTGACACTCAACCTGATACCGATTGAATAGTATTTCTCCGAACTTTGAAATTCTCCCTTGTAATTCCAGATTATGGTTTACTTTTCTGACAAAGAATTTTTTATGGTCTTTATGAGAATGTTGGGCATTCATTAAGTCTTGCATTGGTTTTTATTTTCAAAAGGTGAGAGTTTAACTATCCTATTGGGTATTCATTAACATTTTAACACTAAAATTTCAAATTTCATTTGGGCCTAACATTTACATAATTCTTTCATGCACTAGTTGATTTCTGCTTTCTAAATTTTTGTGAGTGCTTTTCTGAACTTTTTCAAAAAGAAATTGATAATATTATGGAGCCTAAAAAGAGTGGACTGTCAAGAATCATGCTCACCATAGAAACCAAGTAAGAGATAATAGCCAAGGTAGAGAGTGGGCAGATGTCTGATGTTGCTAGGCAGTATGGCTTGAACAGGTCTACAGTAGGCACAATCTTAGCTAAGAAAGATATAATCAAGAAGATTCAAACAGCTAAAGGAGTAACAAAAATCACATCTGAGAAACAAAGAGCATTTTAGAGCTCATAATGGAACCTGAAACTGATCTGACGACAGAAGAACTCCAAGAACTCTCAAATGAAGAATATCAAGAAACTCAGTGAGATGTGTTTTCTTTTGAAAAAGAGGAAGACAAAAGAGGACCAATGTCGACATCTGCTACTAAAGATCTTTTGAAGAAGTGGGAGGATGTCAGAACAACGATCATCCACGTGGCATCCAAATCAGAATAAGGTTAATGGGTTTGAGGATCTCTACAATTACAATACTATTAATTACTTCTGAAAAATCCTGAAGAAAAGAGAAAAGCAATTGACATTGGACAGATTCTTTAACCCCCACAAATGGAAAAAACATGACTAATAAAAATGGAAGACTGCATATATATGTATTTTACTATTACATATAAATAAATGTAGTAAAAAAGTATATATTTTTTATTTTTTGGAGTCTCCGGAACAAATTAGTCAAATTCCCATAAAAACCTATGGTAAATCAATAATCGGTTAACAAACAATTTGGATAATGAACAAAGTCTTGGAACGGATATGTTCATTAACCAATCACCCACTGTATATGTGTATATACACATAATTTGTTGATATATAAAATTAAAGGAATGTTTCATTTCATGCCAAATCTAATTTTACTAAATTTCAATAAATAAATAAAATAATACCTTTGTCTTTAATGCATTTCTACGAAAAAATGCCTTGCACGATTCACAAGTAATGGCATTAAAATTGTATCCAAATGCTTTATCACCACAAACTCCACAAAGCTTGTTGGCTTCTGATTTCTCTAAATTGGAATTATTATTAGCATCAGTATCTGTAATAAAAGGAAATTCTTTATTAAATGTGGAAATATTTAAAGTTTCTTTGTAAAAAAATAAAAAATTGTTTTACTAACCTATCATTTTTTTCATGTCATAACATTCTCTTCAGTTGTATCCTTTAGCAAAAAAATATATATATATATTAAAATTTTTAATTTAAATATGAATATTCATTTCAAAATGCAATGTAATAATCTATAAGATTTTATATTTGATCAGATTGTAACATGTATATCATCTTAAGAATCCAGAAACTTTAATTTGTTGAATGCTCTAAACATTTCAAATGTTTTTAAAATAAAACACCTTATTTAATATGAAAATATTTAACTAACAAAAAATTTGATTGCAAATACTTTTTCCAGTGTGAAAAAAGTTTGAAGATTTTACATCTGTCACTATTTTTTCCTATTTCAAGTGAGAAATGAGTTATAACTAAAGAACTCTTCCATTTTATAGGTGTCCAATACTTTTATGACCTAGTGTATATATATTTTTTGGCTTTTATTTATGATTGTATTAATTTATCATTAAATTAATATAATAAATACCATTTTATATTAAATTAATATAATAAATACATTATTTTATATTATTATTTATTTGACCATAATTCTGTAAATTGGAATTCTTGTCATCTATAGATTTTTTTCCTGGAAGAGCATATGTAAACTACAGTATATAGAAATGAACAATTTTTATATATATAAAAACTTAATTTCTTTATATTAACTACTATTTAATCTAAATGTCTTCACACTTTAGAGAAAAATGATATTCATCTTCATATTTATTAAAAATATATTGTTATATTACATTTTTTTAAATGTATATCCATCTACTTTCAGTTTAAATTATACATTAAAAAGTAGCAAATATTTTCAACTTTTGTTACAATTACTGTAGACCAAAATCTTAAGACATTTTGAAAAAGTCAATATACAAATAAGAGTAATTATGAATCGTGCATAATAAATCTGATTTTTTAATTCACTGCATTGCTTAATAATTTATATGAATTACTTATAACACCATATATGTAATTTACTGTAGAATACTTAAAAAGGGAAAAATTTAAAATGTTTTACAAAAATTTGACACATTTCTTTTCAAAATTCCTTATTCTATTTCTTAATTTCTCATATTCAACTTCTATTATTTTAAAGAGATACTTATTGGAATTTATATATTCAATTACCTTTTTGCCTTATTTTTGTTTTTAAAATCCAAATACCAACAGATTTCTTATAGCACTAACCCAATTATTAATAAACTTTTGATACTGAATAAAATATTGACGATTCAACGATAAGTAGAATGAGATAGAGGAAATAAATCATTTTAAATTTGTAAAACACTAACTTGTGACAATTAGTCATTTAATAAATACGTGATGACATTATCTTCAAATTTTTACCCTAAATCTTGATCGATACGTCTTTATTAATCATTTTCATCTACTTAATTGTGAAGATTGGATAATTTCCTTGCTTATTTCTGAAGTTAATTCAATAAATTTCAACAATTCCTTCGTGACATATTAAACGTTTTATACGATCTCGGTCCTTTTTCATTATAATTGTTTTCTACGAAAACGGGAGCTTACCGATTCATAAAAATCAATGCAAATTAAATTACATCAATGTCATTCTTTCGTTTCAATCGAATCGCTTCTGCTAACATATCTTTTGAGGGCCGCCATCTTTATTAATTTTTGTACGCTTGTTTTCTTGCTTCCCGTCCTCTGGCGGGATAGTGTGAAGTATAGGCCGCGTTTCTTTATGCAGCGCTCGAGGTGGCATCCAAATCAGAATAAGGTTAATGGGTTTNTAAATATTGTAGTTCTTTAACTAAAGCACTATTTTCGGATGTAACTGGAATTAAAGGATAGATTATGAACGTCCATGTTTCGCTCGAGCGGAAAGCGTTTCTAAACTATGATGCAGCGACGTGTAGCGATAGCTGCTCGTGACGTCATTTACGCTGCACTCTCGCTGCATAAAGAAACGCAGCCATACAGAGCTTTGAACCTCTGGACAAAATATATATCGATAGATAATTAAGTGGGTTAAATAATTTTAATGTATATTTTAAGTTACACATTAATAATGTGTAAACTATACATTAAAATATAAATTATTTGATATCTAATAATAATAATAATAATTTCGAATAAACTGAAAATACAAATAATTATTAAATATTTTTATTTAAAATCATTTGAAGGTTTTTTTTTAACTCTCCGCCCTATGGGCACTAAGAGGGCCTCTTTTAGCAAGCCCATTATGGGTTCGGCCAGGTCCACAATGGGGTGGCAGGGTGGTGAGGGACGGGGCCCGACATATCCGGACGGATCACCCCCGAAAAATTCCTGGGGACCCGAGATCGGAAAAAAATCCCAGGAAATTTTTGGGATTTTTTTCCGATCTCGGGTCTCCAGGAATTTTTCGGAGGGGTAGTCCGTCCTGATATGTCGGGCCCCGTCCCTCATCATCCGGCCGAACCCATAATGACATTGCTAAAAAGAGGCCCTCTTAGTGCCCACAGGGCGGAAAGAGTTAAGAGGGTCTGCACTTCTTGATTCATCTGGACCTACAATAGAAGTGCCGGATGATTAGCGACAGAGTCCGATCAAAACATCCATGAACATTTTTGAGATTTTGACGCGGATCCTTAGAGCAGCAGGCTGAGACCTTTACTGTAATTAATCACGGATAGTTCAGATCGAAACATCACTTCATCAGACATCCATGCCGGCTGATCTCATTGAGAGTTTGTCCTGAAAAATTCAGATATACAATATATGTATAGCTACTACGTCTGGCTAGTTAGCACTTCGTGACAAAAAACAGTGTGCCCATTCAAATCTACAAAAAGTTTCCTGGTTCATTTTTAACTGTTCGCAGGAAGAACTTTTGCGATTCTATAATTTCCTATTTCAAAATAAACAATGCTAAAACAATTCATTTGTTTCGATTTCTGTAAAATCGTCAATGAAAATTAATAATCAATAATAGTAATATCAATATAAAATCCTCGAATTAAAGGACTTCAATTCAACGAACTTCCAAGTTTAACGAACAAAATTTTATATTTTCTGAGTCGGCATTTCTTCGTTATTTTCCATAATGAAACGGATTTTAATATAATTTTATTTATTTATTCTTGTTATGGGTTATTTATTAATTTTTATTCATTATGGTTTTCTATTATCTAGATATATAATATATTTAACGAAATTTTCAGCTTTTTACGGTTCGTTTCATGAATCTTGATCAGTCTATAATAATGCGCAGTAGCCGCACTATTAGTGAAGGGAACAGATTGTTTGACCAATCTGTGACAAGGTCACTGTGCGTTACCAAAAGGGACTCTTGAACTTTATAAAACTTCAGAGTCCCAACCATGGTCTGAGAAAGTAATAGTAATTCTAATAACTATGCACTAAAACATGTTCGCATTTAATCGTTTGCCTAGAATCCGCCAGAAAGCGCAACGTGTAAAGTTGCTATTTTCCAATTGAAGTATGATTATCTAAGTAGTAGTTTTAATATACTATAAACGTAAAGTAAATGGGAATTTTGCATAGAGAGAGAGGAGAGAGAATAATTAACGATTTGACATTTTCTGTTTTTAGTATTTTCATTTATTTATTACTAATTACAAGGTACAAAGCGAGGACTTAAACAGTACGTTTCTCTATGCAACTTTTCGAAAACAAAACAAAAATGAATCATTTACTTACTCAACGGTTGAGATATTAATTCTGTGTACAGTGAGGCATTTTAGCTTCTTGGGGTGCAACCAAATTTGAATTAGGAGGCCCTATGCACAGTGTTGACGTCAAACATTTTCTTCGAGGGAAATTTTTGAGAGAAATATTTTCTTATAATAGATCGGTTTGGGGCCCCAGGCAATTGCCCTTTTTGTCCATAAGATAACGCGCCACTGATTGCAGTTTTAAGAATTGTAAACGCCCCAGCCCCTTGTAACGCACCGTAACGATTAAATCATAAAAGCGAGAGAGAAGTAATGGCGGAATTTCCAATTTGCTAAAGTGCGATATTAGGCTTGTATGTTTCTCAGAATATATAGATCACGTGTCGTAGATGAAACATTAATTGTTTGGCTATGTCTATGTGTAACGTATTTCGATGCTTATGTTCCTTTATATATAAAAAAAAAATTAAATATATATTTAATTTAACCATTGTTTTCAAAAAAATATATAAAAATAGTAGTGTCTTTGTTTTGAACATTATACAGTAATTTAGTTTACACTCTATGCCAGAGTTTAGAGGAGAAATTTCACAAATGGACATATGCGTATCACGAATACAAAAACATTTTGCAACTATTTGCGGATTAATTTCACAGAAGTGTTCAAGGTAGGAAAAACAAGGAACATATTGCACGAACGGGAAGACTCTTTGCAAAAACGATCGAAAAAATTGCACGAATGATCAGAAAGATAATGAGATATCGCTTTATCACGCGCAGTCGCGAAACGACCTTAAATCTCGAAAATGAAGTAATGGATCCCCATTTTTTATAGCATTTTTGGATTCCTCGTCTCAATTAATGGAAAATGGCAAAGTTTAATCAGATTTTGAAAAAGAACACAATTCTGTAAGCCTCATAGAAGAGGCTTTGCTAACGTTCCACCTCAACTAGGACATAGCGCAACTTTGTCTATCACAATACAGTAGAAATGAGGCGGAGCCGGAAAGAAAGAAGCGATCCTTGTACACGACAGTCGCGGACAGATGAACTTTGCACTTATAGCCACGAAAGAGGCCATCTTTGCTCCTGCCGGTCACGGGAGAGGCGATCCTTGTACCAGCCGGACACACAGAGACGATCCTTGCACTTTACAAACGGAGAGGCAACCTAAGAACAAAGCAATCGATGCCAATTGCTTTGTTCTTGTATTCTGTTCGTTTTTTGTGTCTATTTTCTGTTAGGTGCAAGCAATACTGTTTTAATTTGATCCTTAAACTCCGTTAGGTAAGCTCAAGGAGCATGGACATTGTCACTTTGACCCCACTTTACACCGAAAACGAAATCATGGACTTCTATTTTCTACATTTAAATTTATTAGATTTCTGGATTTTTCATCGCAATCAAAAAAAAAAAAAAAAGATAAGATAAAGTTTTATGAAAATTGGCCCATCAAATTTTGAAAACGTGTTCAATTCTACAAGTTGCACAGACGTGCTAGCGATCTTGGGCCATCGCGCAACAAATTGCGCGACATCGGTTTGTCGCCCGCGCTCTTGTTAGGATTTTGTATCTCAAAAACGAAGTTATGGACTCCATTTTTTAATTTCATTTTTGGGTTCTTCATTAATGGAAAACGGGAAAGTTTTATCAAAATCTATCGAACTGATTTCAAGAACGAATGCAATTCTGTAAGCCACATAGAAAAGGCTTTGCTAATGTTCCGCCTCAAATATTATTACGAGAAGAATTATTTTCATTCCACGACAGAATAAACTGTTATTTTATTTTATTTTATTTTATAAGATTCTCAGCTCACATTCACAAATATCTAGAGCAGCGGTTCCCAACCTTTTTTCATTAGCGTACCCCCGTGACATTTCCAACTTCCCAACGAGCAACGCATGCGCAAATCTCACACTGCCTGTTTGCAGAGAGTGTCGCCATTTTGAATTTTATTTTGACTCGGTTCTCGGTCCCCGAGTACCTACAAGTCTGGTTTATTTTATCCGCGCATGATTTGGGCACCTAATACTTTGTGCCAAATTGCAACTTTTGACATGTACTCCTTCATACCTCTATGCTGGTAACACAGCAGACTGTACGATTTTATAAACGTACAGTCTGCTGTACGTTTATAAACGTACAGTCTGCAGATTATAAGACATAGTCTTGTCAATAAAAAATTAATAAAAATACTGAATACAAAATGAAAAAAATTACCGCTTGTAGAGAAAATCTGGAGAAACTAGCCATGTCCTTTTCCTTGCTAACAATAAAAAATACTTTTTATAAACAAAAGAATACTTTTTTCAAACAACACGTGGGGATATTGTTGAGAGATAATGATAATAACGGTAACACTCCCCACCATCAAAAGTCCATAGCATAATCATTAATCACACATAATGGTATCCCCACTACCATTGACCAACTGCACAACATTTATTATCTGTTGCATTGTACAATCGTCAGCATAAGTTTTTATTTCTATTTTTGCATTTTGAAATGTTTAATAAAGTTTGTGATTGTTGCAAGGAACATTTTTTACCTAATAATTTTTTAATACTATTAATTTGTGATACATAATATCAGTGCCGTAACTAGCCATTCCTGCGCCCTGTGCAGGAATTTGCATTTAGGTTCCTTAATTAATTAGGTTTGGGAAAGTAATAAAACAAATACCTGCTTTTTGGGCTTCTCTTCCAAGTGGGCCCTATGCGAGTGCACCTGTTGCATCTGCCTAATTACTGCACTGCATAATATATTATTTTTTCTGCCATAATAAGTAACCTTTTTCTGTACCCCTAAACAACCTATCGCGTACCCCGGGTTGGGAATCGCTGATCTAGAGGATGGAATCAAGATCAATGTCTTTTTCTTTATCACAAGTACACTATGGCTTTGATACCGTGGCGTACTCACCAGTGGCCAAGCGGTCTTCGTTCCCTGAACACTGGGAGTCGGTCGTGGGACAGGCTGGCCACGTGGAGTTTTCCGGGTTTTCTCTACGTCCGTAACGCCTAAATAGG